AACTGATTTTGAATTTGACATATTAAACCTCTCCAATACCTTCTCAATGTACTTTTGCTGTGATAACCATAATTTGCAATTCTTCCTGTCACGTGTAATTCTCATGCCAAAGATTTGCTTTGCAGGGCCTAAATCCTTCATTGCAAAGGACTTGCTCAACTCTCTTTTCAAATGCTCAATCTCTTTCATGTCATGACCAATAATCAACATGTCATTGACATAGAGCAAAAGGATAATAAATTTCTCACTAGGGAATTTCTTCACAAACACACAATGATCAGAAGAAGTTTTTGCATACCCATGATCCACCATGAAAGAATCAAATTTCTTGTACCATTGCCTTGGAGCTTGTTTAAGACCATACAAGCTCTTCTTCAATCTGCAGACAAGCTTTTCTTTACCTTTGACTGCAAAACCATCAGGCTGCTCCATGTAAATTTCTTCCTCCAAATCACCATGGAGAAATGCGGTCTTCACATCAAGTTGCTCAACCTCTAAATTCAAACTAGCTGCCAAACCAAGTACAACTCGGATTGAAGACATCTTGACCACAGGTGAAAAAATTTCTTCAAAATCTATACCTTTCTTCTGACTGAATCCTTTCACAACCAACCTTGCCTTGTACCTTGGCTGTGAGCTATTTTCTTCTGACTTCAATTTAAACACCCATTTATTCTTGAGTGATCTCTTACCATTAAGCAGCTTCACTAGCTCAAATGTGTGGTTCTCATGTAAGGATTTCATCTCTTCTTGCATGGCTTTGTACCACTTGTCTTTCTCTTCATGTGACATAGCTTCTTCAAAGCTTTGTGGCTCTCCCCCATCAGTAAGCATCACATATTCATGAGGAGGATATCTCTGTGAAGGATGGTGCTCTCTGATGGATCTTCTCACTGGCTCAGGAGGTTGCTCTGGTGGAATTTGTTCAATTTCTTCATCAACTTGGGGCTCAGGAACATCACCTGCGTTGTCCACATCTGCATTCACATCTCCCCCATTATTATTGACTATGGTAGGAGGCTCTGGATCAACATCAATGTACCTGTGGATAACCTGTTTCTGCTTTTCATTCTTGTCAATATCTTCGATGGTTTGGTCTTCAACAAAAATAACATCTCGACTTCTAAGGACTTTCCTGTTAACCGGATCCCAAAACCTGTAACCAAAGTCTTCATGGCCATAACCCAAAAAGATACACTGTTTTGATTTACCATCAAGCTTGGACCTCTCATCTCTGGGAATATGAACAAATGCCTTGCAGCCAAACACTCTCAAGTGATTATATGAGACATCTTTCCCTCGCCACACCCTCTCTGGAACATCACCATCAAGAGGAATTGAAGGAGAAAGGTTGATTAAATCTACTGCAGTTCTCAATGCTTCACCCCATAATGATTTAGACAATTTTGCATGGGAGAGCATGCATCTGATTCTGTCATTAATTGTGCGGTTCATTCTCTCTGCAACTCCGTTGTGCTGTGGAGTCTTTGGAACTGTCTTCTCAAGCCTGATTCCATGTTCCCTGCAATAATGCTCAAATGGCCCCCTGTATTCACCACCATTATCTGCTCTGACACACTTCAACATTTTACCTGTTTCTCTTTCCACACTTGCATGGAAGTGTTTGAACATATCAAGTACCTGATCTTTGGATTTCAAAACAAAAGCCCACACTTTTCTCGAGTGATCGTCAATAAATGTCACAAAATAAGAATAGCCACTAAGGGATTTAACATCCATAGAGCAAACATCAGTGTGAACTAAATCCAAGATATGTGACCTCCTGTGAGGAGGGTGAGTGCGGAAAGAAACTCTATGTTGTTTACCAACAATACAATCAGAGCAAATTTTGAGAGGTGTACCTTTTACCGGAAGCATATTTTTCCTTGCAAGAGTGTCAAGTCCCTTCTCACTCAAGTGACCGAGCCGCTTATGCCATAGCTCTGTAGAACAATCCTCAATTGCATTCACTTGAGGGGCACACAATTTTGTAGAAGTCCAGTAAAGGGTGTTTTTCTTCACTCCCTTTGCTACCACCAAAGTGCCCTTGGTGCACTTCCATTTACCATCACCAAAGGAATTATGGTAACCATCATCATCAAGTACCTGTACTGAAATCAAGCTGAGGCGCATATCAGGAATATGCCTAACGTTCTTCAAGTGCAGCTTGCATCCAACATTAGTTTCTACCCAGATATCTCCAATGCCAGCAACCTTGCTTACCCCTTGATTACCCATCTTTACCTGCCCAAAATCTCCAGCAGTATAGGATAAAAAATACTCACGATGAGGAGTAACATGATATGAGGCAGCAGAATCAACAACCCATTCATAATCTTGGCATGCGAGATTAACTGAATCATCTTCGTAAACAACAACAACTTCACCATCAGATACAACTGCAGTTGTGTCTTTATCTTCTTTATTATCATTGCCTCTTTCCCTTGATTTCTCCCTCTTAAGCAACCTGCATTCTCTTATCATATGACCTGCTTTGTTGCAATGATAGCACCTGATGTCTTTCCTGGGCCTTGACTGTCCTCTTGACTTGCTTCTGTCATTAGATTTATGAGAGGTTCTATGTTGGCTTCTCCCCCGTGACTCAATAACCAAGGCTTCTGTGTGAGTCGATGAACTAGCCGTATTGTTTCCCTTCCTCCTGATTTCTTCATTCAATAGGGCTTCTTTCACAGTATCAAAAGTCATATTGCCATTAGTGGAATTGCTCAGAGATACCACCAATGTTTCCCAACTGTCTGGCAATGAGCTAAGCAACAACAAAGCAAGTAGCTCATCAGGAAGTTTAATCTCAATAGTAGTCAGTTGATTCACAAGATTCTGAAAACTGCTCATATGCTCTGCCACTGAAGAACCATCCCTGTACTTCAGATTAACCAGTCTCCGAAACAAAAATACCTTGTTCTGTGCATTCTTGGACTCAAACATGTCCTTCAATTTCTTCCACAGACTGTGACACTAGTCTCACTAGACACATGATGATAAATGCTCTGATCTATCCATTGCCTGATCATGCCAATTGTTTTTCTGTTTGCCTTTGTCCATTCTGCAACAGATCTATCATCTGGCTTAGTATCGTCTCCGTCAATGGGATCATACAAGTCCTTACAGAACAACAAGTCTTCCATACGGGATTTCCAAATAGAATAATTGGAAGAATCCAATTTCAGCATAGTACCAGCCATATCACCTTCACCCATTTTAATAGCACCGAACAAAACTCCAACCAAGGAGCTCTGATACCACTGTTGGGAAAAGAAAACAAATATAGAAGATAGTAATAAAATGCGGAAGCTGCTGGATCAACTTTTTTCCTGCGTGCAGTTAAAAATAAGCCCCAAACAAAATTGCTCAGACAACAATAATAAGCACAAAATAGAGCAAATAAAATAAGGAGACACCAGAATTATTAACGTGGGAAAAAACCCTTAAAGGGAAAACAACCCACGGGACCAAGCCAGTAAATCTTCCACTAATAAAAATAATGGGTACACCACAAGTCCTCCTGGAACCACCAGAGATCAACAGAGCAAATATAATCTTCACCGTATAAGGTGGATATCAAATCAACTAACCCCTCAACGGGTTCTACGACACAACAATAAAGAGACACTCTTTGATATTCTTCTCTCTGTCTGTAGAGTCGCTCACGTTGCAGCTCTCTTCCCTCTTGCTCTTGTTATATCTAACACATAAGGGTTAAAACCCTTTTAACCATTTCATGGGCTTTGGCCCACAAAGCTAATTCCCTTTTTTTCTTCTTTTCTTTTAATAATAATAATAATAAGATTAAGTGGGCTCACTTATTTTGGTGACCCACACAACACAATCCTGCAGATACCTTATTCTAATTTTTTAAATTTCAAGACAACTTTGTGCATGAAACAAACAATAAACTCTCAAATTCTGTACTCAAGAAAAGGAAAACAACCAACTGATTATGCAGCAGATTAATTATGCAATATAAAATAAAATCTAAACTAATCATAACGGAAACAAGAGTGACTGCATCATGGTTTAAATAACATATCTGCACCAAAATATTATCAAACCTTACTTACGTATTAGATGCCTACTAAACAAAAAGACAAACCTCAAAATCTTAGTTGAGAAAAATAAAATAAAAACTAAATAGTCTTAGCTAAAATGTCTTCCATGGTACTCTTAAGTCCCTTTAGATGGTCCTCCAAAACATCTATTTCAACCTCTTGGTTATTCTCTTCAACCAAATTTGTAGTTGCAGCAATTGAAGATTCGATAATCTCAATTTCTTCCGGGGAGAGCTTTGTATCAATATCCTCTTTCTTTAAAGCATTCAGAGCCGTGGCCTTCCGGAGGAATTTCTTGTCTTCAATATGGTAATTCTCAGCTTCTTGAATTAATTTTTCAATTTCTTCAGCTGACATCCTATCTTTGTGATTGGTTATTGTAATCTTGTTCGAACTTCCAGAAGCATTATTCTTAGCTGAAACAGTCAAAATACCATTATTCTTAGCTGCAGCAGTAGGTTCATTCATTACTCTCATAACATTTAGGCCAGCTATAAGATCGGCATCTATAGTTGCTTTTCTTTGAGAATCATTAAAATAAGCTGGCACAGTAATAACTGCATTTTTAACTGGTGTTTCTAAATATTTCTCAGCAATTTCTCGCATCTTGATGAGTATCATAGATGATACTTCTTCGGCATAGAGTTGCTTCTCTTGATCTTTGTACTTAACTGTAATCTTGGGTTTGTCATTGTCACCAGCAATGACTTTGAATGGCCATAAAAGCATATCATCTTGAACAATAGGATCCCTAAACTTTCTACCAATTAACCTCTTAGCATCTGAAAAATAATAAATAAAGATATGAATAAAGTTTAATTTATCGCTTGATCTCTAGACTAATAGGAAAATTCTAAATAGATTTATAAACTTGTTATAAATAATTTGCAATTACGTTTTCAAGCTTTTAAAAGAGAAAAAGAGTAGAAATTACTAAAAGACGGTGTTTTGAGGGTTGGCGGAAGCTTGATTTTTAGCAGCATCACCGATCAATCTCTGATTATCAGTGAAAGCAACAAAAGAAAGCGTAGTTCGATTGCCTTGATCATTGTGAATGATCTCAACTCGACAGTGTTCTTCTTGCCATACTGCAACACATGAATAAGTTGTGCCAAGGTCTATTCCCACAGCACAATGTCCTTCCTGTTTTCTTTTCATATTTGAGATATCGGAATATTAGGGTTTCTTGTGTCAAGAGAAAAGCTAGGGTTTTTTCAAAAGCAAAATACTTTGAATATATATATATATATATATATATATATATATATATATATATATATATATATATATATATATATATATATATATATATATATATATATATATATATATATATATATATATATATATATATATATATATATATATATATATATATATATATATATATATATATATATATATATATATATATATATATATATATATATATATATATATATATATATATAGTTGTTGTTTCTAAAAACTCTAGCGCCTAAGTTGTTTTCTCCAGCTCTCTTTTTTTTTTGGTGGATTAAAAAAATAGAGAAGACACAATAAAATTAAATTGATACAAAATAAATTTTTTATTGATATGCCAAAGTTGTATGTCACTAAATTTGCTGTGTAAAAATATTTTTCAATTTTGTATCTCAACAGAAATTATTTGATCAGGTCATAATTAAATAAATATTTGACTTAATATAATTAAATTGATAAAAAAAATAAAAAAAAATAATTTATTTGCCAAAATTGTATGTCAGTAAATGTGCTTTGTAAAAATATTTTTAAATATTGTATCTCAAAAAATATTATTTGATCAATTTATATAAATATTTGAATTAATATAATTAAATTGATACAAAATAAAAATATAATCGATTTGCCAAAACTGTATGTATGTCAGTAAATATGCTTTGTAAAAATATTTTTCAATATTGTATCTCAACAAATATTATTTGATATCAAGTCATAATTATATAAATATTTGACTTAATATAATTAAATTGATAAAAAAAATAAAAATAAAATTGATTTTCCAAAATTGTATGTCAGTAAATGCGCTTTGTAAAAATATTTTTCAACATTGTATCTCAATAAATATTATCTGATCAATTTATATAAATTAATATTTGATTTAATATAATTAAATTTATACAAAATAAAAATATAATTGATTTGCCAAATTTTTTTTAATAAATAAAATATCATTATCAACAAGGGTACTAGGGTACCCTAACCCATTTAGAAAGCCCTTATCAACAATACAAACTAAGATACAATTTAAGAAATTATAAAAAATCAAAAGAAAAGTTGAACCAATCATAATAGTTGTACCTAAATAGAGGTTCGTCTCTCTTTCCAATCCACCACCAAGAAACAAAAAGAAATTCTCTGCATAACCAATTCTATATCCCAACCATTATCCTTAAACATGATTTGATTTCTAGTATACCAAATGCACCAACAAATAGTATATCATAAATCAGTAGCATTGTGTTTTGCAACATCTTTTTCACACAAGCAATCAATCCAACCCTTCAAATGATCTACACATATTACATAATCACCCAACACCACCATAAGCCAATCCCCAAAAAGTTTCCAAACTAGTCTGCTTTTGGCACAATTAAGAAACAAATGCCTAGAACTTTCCTCATGTACAAAACAAAATGGACAAACATAATCATATGCTCATTAAGTAGCACACCTCTAACTCTTAAATTATCTCTAGTTGGAAGCATGTCAAAAACCATTCTCCAAGTAAAACACTTTACTTTCATAGGAGATGAAGCTTTCCACACCCAACTTAGAGCCATATTAGTCTCATCCTCCACTCCACCTTCCACCAATTGTGATGATAACCACTCATAGCAAGACTTCACAATGAAGGATTTGGAACTGCAGAACGACCAAATTACAACACCTTCGGCCTCCTTGTAAACAAAGGCCTCCTGTGGAAGCTCATGTAATTTTGACAACTCCTGTTGTGAAGCACTGTCAACAGTATTGAAACTGGAATCAAGCTGCCATAGCCAAGAGTCCCATACCAAAGAGCCCATATCAAACACATAAACCAGTTTCTTTCCCACCCTGCTCCAAATTTCAGGAAATAAGGAAGCCAATAAAAAATTCTCTAACCATCTAGATAGCCAGAATAAAGCTTTGCCACCATTACCAATCTTGGCAAATAATAAATTTAAGAAAGAGGAACCACCAAAACTATGCAACACCTTGAACAAGTCTCTCCACCAAAGTGATGGAGTAACACTCAAATTAGACAATTCACCATTCTACAAAGTGGATGATAGATTTCCATATCTACTCACCAAGATCCCTTCCCACAACTTGCCCTTCTCAGTAACAAACCTCCAAATACATTTTGCCAACAAAGCAATATTGAACCTACCTAAACCTCTAATCCCTAAACCTCCATCCACTTTGAGTCTACACGCCTTACTTCAACTGACCCATGAGATACCATTTTTATCCTTGGAACCAGGCCAAATAAACATCCTATGTATTGATACCAACTTATGAATCACCTTACTAGTAGCTTTGAATATAGAAAGGTAGTGAATAGGTAGATTAGACACGACAAAATTGATAAGAGTTGCCCTCCCTCCCATTGAAATCAACCTACCCTTTCAAATATAGAGCCTAGCCTTCATACAATCCACCACAGGTTTCCAAAAAGAGATGGATCTATGATTACCTCTAACCTTAATCCCAAGAAACTTAAATGGAAGCTCATCCATCTTACATGCCAAGAAACTTAAATGGAAGCTCATCCATCTTACATGCCAAGAAACTTTCAGCTGCCTTCAGAAACAATTCATCCACCCCAATACCATATAATGAACTCTTACTAAAGTTGTTTTTCAATCCTGAAATTAGTTCAAACCCCTTTAGAATTATTTTCAGAGCCCACAAATTTCTCCACACCCCATCACATACTAACACAATGTCATTAGCATATTGGAGAAGGTTATAAACCCCACCATTTCCTATATTGAATCCTTTGAACAAATTCCCTTCAACAACTCTATTAACTAAAACTGCTAACCCTTCAGCCACAATAGAGAATAGGAAGGGTGATAGGGGATCACCCTGTCTAAGGCCCCTTGATACTACAAAATCATGTGTAGGACTTCCATTAACTAGAACAGACATAAAATTATTCATTACACAACCTTTCATCCACAACATCCACCTCTCTCCAAATCCCATATCCCTCATAATGTCTCTAAGAAAATATCATTCAACACAATCATAAGCTTTAGCAAAACTCACCTTGAGAAGCAAACAATTTTTCCTACACCTCTTAGTATAATCAATTAATGCATTCAACACTAGAACTCCATCAAGTAACCGTCTCCCATATATAAAGGCATTTTGTGATACTGAAATGATTTTTCCTATACCACCTTTGATTCTATTAGATAGAAACTTAGATATCACCTTATAAATACATCCAATTAGACAAATTGGTCTATAATAATCTAAACCATTAGGATTATCTATCTTAGGAATTAAGGCAAGAAAGGATGAAGTCATCACCTTTGGTAAGTAGCCATCTCCATAGAACTCATTAATACAATTAATGATGTCTTCCCCTACCACCTCCTAGCATCTTTTAAAGAAGTCAAAATTGAAGTCATCTAATTTAGGGCTTCTATCCCCTTCAGAATTGAATATCATATCTTTAATCTCCTCTATCTCATAAGGTTTTTCCAGAAGGATTTGATCTTCCAAAGACAACTTCTTCATATTACTGGATCCCAGTCTAGGTTTTGCTGATTACTTGGATTTGAATTTTGCTTCAAAATGAGATTTGACTGCTTCCTTGACTAGTGTTACCTCCTCCACCAACCCCTCTTCCTGCTGAATTGATGTAAGAATATTTCCTCTATTATGGTGTCACTATGCCATAAAAGACCTTTAGCAGCGCTTAAAAGCGCTGCTAAAGGTAAAGGCAACGTTTTTTAATGAAAAAAGCGCTGCTAAAGGCTCCCTTCAGCAACACTTTTAGCAGCGCTTTTTTCACCCTATAGCAGCGCTTTTATAAGCGCTGCCTATTCCCCCTTCCCCTCCCTTCAGCAACGCTTTTTTCACACTATAGCAGCGCTTTCCCCTCCCCCTTTAGCAGTGCTTTTTAAAAGCGCTGTCTTAGGCCCCCCCCTTTAGCAGCGCTTTTTTAAAGCGCTTTCTTTGACCCCCCTTTAGCAACGTTTTTTTAAAGCGCTTTCTTAGACCCCCTCTTTTCCAACCTATAGCAGCGCTTTTTTGGCCTCTCTTTGCCCCCTTTAGCAGCACTTTTTTTAAAAGCGCTGTCTATTCTTCACGATTTTTAAATTTTTTTTTAAAATAATCACATTTTTTATATATTTTTTGATAAACCTGCTTATAACAATTACATTCCCTGCTTATAATTCAGGCCTTTAATTCAACAGTTTGGCCTTATATATAACAATTAATTTGGCCTTATTTATGTGTATTCATCACTTTACCCATAACCATTTTAATACACATAAACCTGCTTAAATATATTACAATATCACAAATACATTCAATTTACAACATCACAAATACATTCAATTTACATATAATTACAAATCCGATAACTTTACAAATAGATACGTTATACAATTCTCAACTCAAGAATAAATTGACACCAGTCCTCCTTAATTTCTTCCAATCTTGCTTTCGAGTAAGTATCGCACTTGTATTCATCAAAGTACTACATAATATAACATAACATGCACGATTTAATTTTAAAACTAATTACTCAGATGAAATATCAGTTAATTATCAAAATGAATCATATAACTTATGAATTGATCCATACCATGATTGGAATCTCTATTTGACCTGAAAGAATAATTTCCTTCATAAAGCGCAATACAAAATATCCGCAGTCAATCCCATTGCACTGACGAGGACACTGTAAATGGAAAAAACAAATGAACATTTATCAGGATATATAGTTTAAATAGTTTTATCAAGTAGAACCACTATAACAGTCAAACATGAGAAAATATACCTCCACTCTGATCCAGCTGATGTTGTTAGCCTTGCTTTTTGACACTGTTGCATCTCTTTGTGCTCTGAATATTTGTATAACTCTAACATAATATAAACGTATATTTAGAACAATGTCACATAATAAATAAAGA